CCTTTTCGATTATACCTTGAGCGAGTTGCTCCTTAAATATACCATCGTACTCTCGCATCAGTTCGGGATCCTTAATCAAACGAGAATGTAACGAGTTCAACCGAGTCTTGCACTGCTCAAAATTATTTACCATATTTTTTGGCTCCGTCGGTTTCCATGGTAATCCTACTTCGTAACGATCTCCTTGTACCCTTATGTCACAAAATTTATCCGTTTCGTTACTATCAACTAACTTGTTACAATCTAACCCGGTATTTTCTACTTCCCAAAAGGCTTTCAGTGTATCAACTAATTCTTTATCCTTATCCGATTCGGTAAGCCTTGGGTTCTCAATACATAAATTTGCAGACGTAAAATTATCCTGAGAGATTTTCGACGACTCTAATTTTCCCGACAACACCCAACCTAGTTTACTCTTAACAGCTACGGGACCGTTTTCTCCTCTAATTACATCCCCCACTACGATACTATGATATTGGTCAGCTCCTATCAAAACATTGATATGATCATTACTTCCTATGTCAACCTCATCTGCCAATTCTAAACCCTGTAGATGAGGGAAAGAATTTACTTCTACAAGGGTGGGGAGCGGAGAACATAATTCTGGGTACGAAAGTGCATTAACAACAGCTAACTGTCCGTCATTTAATTCAATCTGGAAACTTACCAATTTGCAGTTCTTACTTTTATACTCAGCGCTACCGAAAGTGTTCAAGTTCAAGGTTTCTTTCATCTCCGTTTTCAGTTGTAATTTCTTCACCACATCTTCGGTCACATAGCTTCTCTGACTGCCATTGTCGAACAAAATGCGAATGGAGCATTTTTCTCCGGTGCTCGGGTTTACTGCTGTTGCCTTTGCAGTTTGCAATAAAACATGCGTCGATTTCTTTTCTTTTGATATCGCAGTAACATTAGGTGGCATTGACTCTGCTCCGCTATTATTACTCTTCCTTTCACAGATGCTTGAGTGATGTTTTCCTCTGCAAAAACTGCAAAATTTTGCACTTGGGCATGTTTTACGACATGGCCTGTCCTCAAACAAGAAAAACATCGCCCAACTCGCAACAAATGCTCTTTCCGCTTGTTAACATCCACGATAGTGTTACAATCTGAGGCGTAATGGTTGCCAGAGCAAAAATAACAACAAATATTTTTTGTCGCATTCCTTGATACGAAAACTGACGTCGTACCCATGTTCCCAGTTGCTCGGATTTTTGTCGTTGTTATCGGTGCCTTATTGTCGGCGATGTGAATGTAGTCACGCATTTCTCGAGCTTCCACTTCATGCTTAATAATCATAAGAAGCTCTGAAATCGACCAGATTTCTTTCGAAGTATGCCTCGCAATTTGCAGGGAAATATCCTTCGGAACCCTCGACATTATAACGGGAATCAACAGGCTTCCGTACTGATCCGAACTGATTCCTAATGACTGTAATCCGCGTACATGTACGTTAATTGTATCGTACACATATCTTAGTTGCGCTGGTTTATCGTTTTGACAAACTGGTAACTTCAAAAGTTCGTCCATATGTTTCGAAATGATCTTCTGTTTTTTTCCGAACCTATCCTGAAGTATCAGCAGGGCATTTTCATAGTTTGCTTCGGTCATAGGCAGTCCTTCTATAGCTCTCGCCGCTTGTCCATCCAAGTATGATTTCAGGTAACTAAATTTCGTTATCGTTGGGATGTTCGTATTCTCGTGAACAGCTGCATTAAAACTCTCCCAGAAACTGAAAAAATTCACAATATCGCCACTGAATCTCGGTAATTGCAACTTTGGCAGTTTCGAATTTGAATTTCCATGCGACGAAGACGAACTTCCACTTTGAAGGGAATTATTTCCATTTCCGTCGTGTTCATCACTGGAAGGATTGGCTGGTGTTATTGGTGTAGTTGTAAGTAAAGAAAGCCTTCTCACGCTCGGTGGTGTTGTTGGTAATTGTCTTCTAATTCTTGTACTAGTTGCCGGGGAAAATGGGTTGGGTGGATGCAGTTTTCGCTTGATCTTTCGTATGGCATTAGAGATGCGAAATTCATATTCGTTTGCTTCCGTTACTTCGCTATCAATCTTTTCTTCTTCTTCCAATACATCGATAATTTGTCCGTCAAATAACTTCAATTCCTTCAATTTCGAGTCCAATAATTCCAAAATCGTTTCTAATCGACAAATCCGTTCATCGTCTCGGGGCTCTCCAGGTTCGCTGAGCAGCTCAAGTGCTTCTCGTTCTAATTTCGTTGCCACGGATCGGTTTGCTCCACGAATCTTAATCAGTTTATGGAGGGATTCCATGTTTCAATACTCAATTTCATGCCAACCACTTTGGGCGCCATTTTATATTGTTGTTCAGGTTGGAAACATTAAAACACCACATCGTTTGCTATATCTTTATTTATTAACAGAACATAACATTATCCGCCCTCCATCTCTAACTACATTTCAACATCAATCACTGGAGAGCTGGTAACGAGTAATACATAATTATAATTTATGCAGCTAAAGCAATCGAACATAACAATCCTCTTTGACACAATTTCATGGGTTATTCCTAAAAGTTCTCCTATTTAGTCAGAATCAAGTTTTAAAGTTCTCCAACAAATTTTAAAATTTTCTAGTCGTACACTCTTAGCCCTTGTCGACTTAAAGGGGCTTTTTTAAATATTTTCTAAGGTCATTCTTAGAGCTGTAATGTTCATTTTAAAGCACTTCGTTCAATCTTTGTTCACTTGTGATGCTGTTTTAAGACATAATTGCGGGCCACCCTCAAAGCTCCCTGTTTATTCTGAATCAAATATTAAAATTTTCCAACACAATATTCCTGTTAGCCGTTATTGGCCCATGGTGCTCGTTTAGACAAACATCATCTGAAAATTTCTTAAGAATAAAAGTTCCTAAAAAAGTATGTTGATTCATAAAAATTTTTAACAATTTCTGATCTAAACTCCAAAGAATTAAAATAATTACACCGTTATTTCATTTGAGGGCCTGGTATCATATCTTCGTCACAATTAGCTTTTAAAACACTACAGCAACAAAGCACTTAAGAAATTGAAAGATAGAAAACAGCAAAAGTTTCGTGCATCAGAAAGGATTCTTACTCAAACAACAAATTAAGAAAATACAATTCATGGACAACAGCTAATCTTCATAGATTTAGTAATTTTCTCCACAGTCATGGTTTTTTCTTGCTTCTTTGTTCGATTTAACACTATCCAGACTAGGGGGGGGGGGGGGGCACATGTGACAGATCGTAACGGTAGAGCGTTGAGAAAAGAGAACACCACTTTCTGCTGTATTCAAATCAAAATCCCATTCTCCTCTTATTTCCAATCTCTCGATTTATATACCTCTATTAATTATAATTGACATATCACGTGATTACAGTTTACAATGTGATTGGTCCTGTTACATCCTACTCCCCCTTAGCAAAAAAAATTTTGTAAGAAATTTTTTTTTTTATAACGAAATAGAGAAGGCTACTAATGACAAGGAATAAGAAAATTAATATAGATATATATAAATTGTACAATTACGATACTGACGTGTCCTTGAATGTTCATGATTCAAAATTTTGTTTTGTTTTGTTTTTTTTTAAAATTCTAATTACGACATACACCATTGAAAAACTCTTGGTTAAGGGTGAGAATATAAGTTCCTCCCTGGGAGCTACCATTTAAAGAAAGATAGGGGCAAGAGTTAGTTAAACCTCGTAATTTCCCATGACGAGACAGGATCTCTCGTGCATCTGGAAGCTGTTGATAGATATACTTACAAGCTTCTGATGAAATAGATGATTTAGATGGCTGGAGCTGTAAATAACGTCCAAAATGATATGCTAAACGAGTCAGTTCGTTTTCAGGGTTTTCTGTAATCGTTTCATCCTGTGGTGTGTCAGCGAGGGCATCCTCGGGTGGACGTAAATCGTATTGGTCACTGTCCGGTATTACAACAATTTTTTCTATATTAACAGGGCGCGGAAAAGGTTTACCTGTTTCTATGTCCTTTAAAAACAATAAATTGTCTTTGTTGTGGGGATGTCCTACAACTATATATGGACCGTTAAAATTGCGTAAAAAGCGTGACGCGGAACCGGTGACTCGTGCAGGTGAGTCGTTGCGTAGGTAAACTATTTTTCCTTCTGGGACAGTTAAATAGCGCGAATTCATATCATACAATTCCCTTTGGCGACGTCGCAGGTCAGACTTTATGTTTTGGAATTGAAAATGCGCAGATTTTAGGCGGGAAACCAAATGTTGAGCGTATTTATCCACAGAAAGTTTAGAGGGCGGGAGATCAAATGATAATGTTTCTGGAGAGGGTGCAGCGCGACCGAACACGAGAAAAAAAGGAGAAATGTCAGAAGTACCTGAAATAGGGGAAGAGTTATGCGAATAAACGGCTGGCTGCAAATAATCCTCCCAACTCTCTTGGTTATTTTCGCAAAAGATCCAATAGCGGAGTTCAAGAAACGATGAACACGTTCTGTGGCGCCGTTCATGCGCGGGCGGAAACCTGACGTGAAAACTTGTTTTATAGACAGTAATGATGTTAGGCGATGTAAAACAGCGTTTAAAAATTCACCACCCCTGTCACTTTGTAGGACAGCCGGAAAACCGAAAACTAAAAACACTTCATGCAGTAAAGCATGTGCCGCGGTAGTAGCAGTTTTGTCGGGCACGGGTATGGCGCGCAAGAAGTTAGAAAAAGGACAGACGGCTGTTAAAATCCATTTATTTCCGGATGGTGACCTTGGGAGTTTGCCCACGTAATCTACGCCAAGGGTATGAAAGGGGCTCTCGTATAAGCGAATCTGCATAGGCCCGTGTTTTTGCTGCAGTGTTTTAAAGCGAATACAATTTGGACAGCGACGAACCCAGTTACGCACATGTTTAGATAAATTCCGCCAATAAAAATCGCGCGATAGAGTGAGGTAGGTAGCGTCGCGGCCTCGGTGCATACCCAAAATACTATCATGGTAGGCTAGAAGAAGATGGCGTTGTATTTCTGTATCCGAAGGGACAAATATCCTAAGATGATCTGGGTCTTGCATGAATTCATCTGAGTAGTACAATAGGCCGTCCAATAGCACTGCCCTTTGTGCAACAGTAACAACCCATTTCTTTATTTTCTGTCCTACCATACTGAGACTAGTTTGATCGTTACCTGATGCGAGATAGTTAATTAATGGGCCTAGCCAGGCATCTATGCGCTGTTTTTCTGCAAATTCAACCCTATTAATGTTAAGAGGGCGGAGTAAGGCAAGTTCAGAAGGCCAGGGGGATCTATAGGGAAGTTTAGGCATAGGCGTCAATGATTGGCTAAGTTCATTGGGTGTAGCAGGGAGTGCCATTGACCGTGAGGACTCCATGAGAAGGGGTGTGGATTCAAATGGCTTACAAACCGGCCCATGCGAGGGGGGTAGAGATGTTAAGCAAGCTAGACTTAAACTATCGAATGTGCTGCTAAAAAGTGCTTCACTACTAGAATAAATACAAGCATCAAATGACAAAGTGGTTAGGATAAAACTTGTAACTTCAACTGGGGGCATTAGTAGAGCATCACCCTCTAAAGTTGGTTCAGGGAGAGGTGCGCGACTTAAGGCATCTGGAACAACATTTGCAAGACCAGGGCGATGTTCGATATGAAAATCAAATTCGGCTAAACTCAAGCACCAGCGAGCAAGTTTGGAATTCTGTGGTGCAAATGAGGTAAGATATTTAAGGTTTGCATGATCCGTAATAACTTTGAATTTATGGCCTATTAAATAAGGACGAAAACGTTCTAAAGCCCATTTTACAGCGAAAAGTTCTTGATGCGTGGTAGGCCAATGAGACTCTGTTTTGTTAAAAGCTCGTGACGCGAAACGGACTGGCCGGAGAAGACCTTCGTGAAGTTGTGCAAACATTGCACCACAACCTTTTTTGCTCGCGTCACAGTGCACTTCAAAAGGGCGTTCCCAATTAGGGTGTGATAACATCGTTTTGGCGGAAAGAAGTGCAGATTTGAGGTCTTGAAATTCAGCCTCGTGAGCACCAGTCCACGAAAAGGAAGCATTTTTAGAAAGAAGTGAGCGTAAATGAACGCTTCTTTCGGACATACGGGAAATATATTCTCGAAAATATCCCACCATGCCAAGAAAACGTTTCACCCCTATAGAGTTTTTTGGGTGTGGCATTTGGGAAATGGCTTTAGTCCCATTTTCGGTAGGAAAACGGCCTTCTGGCGTGATACGATGCCCTAAAACTTCCAAATCTTTAGAGAAAAAGGTGCATTTAGACGGTTTGAACTGTATTCCGAATTTTGCTGCGCGTGCAAAAACTAATTCATAGTGTTGCAAAGCATCAGAATGATTTTGTGACCACGTGATACAATCGTCGATATAGATTATCAGCCATTTGTATAAAAAGTCCGCAAAAACAGTGTTCAAAATACGTTGAAATGTTTGCGGGGCTGTGTTTAATCCGAAAGGCATTTTAAGAAATTCGAACAGACCTGCATGTGTGGCGAATGCTGTTTTATGTGCATGTGCCGAATTTACGCGTACCTGCCAATAGCCAGAGGCTAAGTCTAACTTTGCAAATAATTTGCCATCCCCTATGGCGTCTAAAATATTAGAAACAGGCGGAATTGGGTAGCCGTCGCCATTAGTAACGGAATTTAGGCCACCATAATCAACCACAAAACGAGGGGGCTGTGGGCATCCTTTGATAGCAGGTTTGCGAACCAGAATGACAGGTGCCCCCCATACAGAATTGCTAGGCCGAATAATTTGCATTTTAAGCATGCGCTCAAGTTCCTGTTTTATCGCTGCCAGCTCGGCTGGACTTTTACGGTAAGGCAGTCGATAAACTGGCCTGGCCTCTCCTGTATCTATATTATGCTGGAAACCCTTAATCGTAGAGAGAGGCGTGTCTGGTAAATAAAACACCTGAGGATATTTCCTAATAAGTGCGCGAAATTTGGAAATAATATCTGGAGGCACATGAGAATAGGCTGCTGTATTTAAGTCCAGAGCATCCACAAGTTTAAGATAATATTCCTCTGAAAATACGTCTATATTACTCATTGATTCAGGGGGTAAGGCGTGGTCTGGCTCGCGCGGCGAGTTCTCCAAAAATTGGGATAAAATAGACGAGTCGTTGCCAGTTTGATTGTTGTTAGAAATGTTTTGTGTAGGCCGTACATTTGTAGAAAACTCAGTCTTGTCTACGTTATTTGGCGTATGTGTTGTCGAAACTACAGGGTAGACGTTTGGTAAATCACAGTGTACAGCAAAAGAATGCCATATATCT